TTGGCAGAAAATTAAAGAGTCGTCAACGAAAAAGAAGTGTGACACCTGAACAGCGTTAGTGCCCTTTCCAACAGTTATACCTTTCAGCAAGTTCAATTCGCTAGCCTTACCAATTAGTGCATTCAACGCCTTCATGACAATTAAAAAGAGTAACGGAGATAGGGGGTCACCTGACACAGCCCGCGTGATGCAGATAAGAAAGTGGATGTCCCACCATTAACCATTACAACAAAAGATGTAGTAGAGATACAACTGTTCATCCACTTAATCCATCAATGCCCAAAATCCATTCTTTTCATCATGTACTCAAGAAAGTCCCAACTTACATGATCATATACCTTCTCAATGTCAAGTTTGCACAACACTCGTTTTTTTTTCAGAAATTAAATCATCCTCCACTTTATTAACAGGTATAACTGCATCCAAAATCTGTCTACCACCCACGAATGTGTGTTGACACTCCCCAATAATTTCCCCTAAGACTTTTGAGAGTCTATTTGCAAGGACTTCAACAATTAATTTGTAAATATATCCTACAGAACTAATAGGTCTGAAGTCTTTAATCTCCTTAGCACCCCTCTTCTTTGCAATTAGAACAATGAAAGTTGTGTTAAGAGACCTCACAACTTGTGTGAATCATATAAGTCTCTAAACAGTCCCATAATCTCCTCATTGATCAAAAGCCAAAAATCTTGAAGGAACTTCTATTAAAACTGTTCGGACTGGATGCTTTGTCACTGTTACAGCATTTGAGACTGTCCAGCACCTCAGATTCAGTAAATTCACCTTGCAGTAGTTGCCGGCTTGACTCAGAAATGACTTAAAGTGTATCACATCAAATCTGGTGCGCCCAAGTCCCTCTTCCATATACAACCCAGTAAAAAACTCCTTTGCAGCCTCCCTCATGGCACTATTACCTTCAACTTTCTTGTTATCAATCCATAATTCACCCAAGAAATTGCATCTTCTTCTGTGACTTGCCAAAGCATGGAAGAATTTGGTGTTGCAGTCACCTTCTTTTAACCATTTCTCTCTAGATTTCTATTTCCACGAAACCTCATCCTTGCACATCAGTTTAGTCAGCTTGATTTTCAGATCTTCCCTCTTCGCCCTCTCCTCCTCGGTCAAACCAGAGACTTCCTCTTTGCTATCTAAATCCCCCAGGACGTCAAACAAGAAGTTAAGTTCCTCCCTTTCTTTTTCAGTTCAATCTTTGTCTATTCTTTAATCGTGGTTTTAAGTGCTTTCAGTTTACAGGCTACAATGTAGCTAGCTTTGCCCTGGACAGAAGTACCTTTCCAAGTCTCCACAACCCAACTTCTGAAACAGTCCACTCTCAGCCTAGATATTATCCAGTCTAAAAGGAATGGGGCCCCATTGGATACCATCATCAACCAGACACAATGGGAAATGAGCTGATATTGGACGCTGTAGTAAGTTCTGAATCACCTCATTGAGTAACGGAATAAACCGGGTATAAATGAGGAAGCGGTCAATTCTAGACCAGTAGGGTGAGGCGCGTTGATTGGACCAGGTCCACCTACCCCCAGTCAGTGGCATATCCATCAACCCCAGGCCATCAATAGCATCAGAAAATCCATCGGCAATAGTTGAGGATAAAATGTTGCCACTCCTCTCTTCTCTTTTCAACACCATGTTAAAATCCCCACCAACTATCCAATTTTCACCCCCAAAATGTTTAGCCTCATCCAGATCCTTCCACAACTGCACCCTTTCCTCTTTAGACCCATGACAATAGACTCCGGTGAAAGTTCAGTCCAGTTCACCCCGACAGTTACAAAACCGGACAGACAATGTAGTCACCCCCTTAACCACCCCCAAGCATTGGATATCCCTGTCTCTCCACATTATGATGATACCACTCGTAGCTCCCCTTGCCAGAATAGCATGCCAACCCACATCCGAAACATTCCATAACCTTTTAATAACCTCATCAGTATAATCTTCCAGCTTAGTTTCTTGGAGGCAAACAATACCCAGCTTCCACCTAGCAAGGCATCCAAGCAGAATAAGCCTTTTAGCCCTGTCATTTAGACCTCTAACCTTTCAGGACACTATTTTGTCAATCATTAAGACAAAATTTTAACTCCCTCTGACCTCTTCCCTCCGCCCTCCTACTATCATAGTTCACTGATGATTCCAATCACTTAAGTTCCCTCTTAAAGCCCATGCTCTGTTTTCTCTTCTTTTTTGTTGTTCCATTATCTTCTTTCTTTAACACATAGACTCTCTTTTCAATTTCGGTAAAGAAAGAAAAAATATAATCTTCCATACCAGTAAGAGGAATACCCATCATGCTGCTGAACTTCTGGATGTTCTCCAGGACCCAAATCGAACTGTTCAGACCATTTTCCTCTACCAGGTCCACCCCCTCCAGGCTCAAAGACAGAATCTTCTCAATTTCCGGGCCAGGCAGCACATGCATTGCTTGCACCTCATCTTCAACCAGAACTAATGCCATTTTTTCCTCTCTGTTTACACTCCCATAACAAGACTTAATTTCACTTTCAAGTTCCTCAAAATCACCCAGCTCATTCTCAAAAACATATGGCGTAGGGATGTTAGGAACCTGCTCCCGACACATCACAGAGCGATCATTCAGCTCAGGCTCTTGACCTACAGACTCCTCCGCCGCAGGAAGATTGATCATCGTGAATTGCGATTCGGATTTTAGGTTTTTCAAACCCGAAGATTCTCCTCTAACATTTACACTATTCACCAGTCTCCATTCCTTTTTTCCTTGTCTGTGCTGGATGGGCCCCGATATTTCTTGTCCTATCAACATGGGCCATTTAGCCTTCTCATCTCTTGAAAATCTTCCCCTACCCTTAGCTCCTGATCCAGGCATTGGTCGTGGCCCCTTTTGTTGCAGACCTCTACCATTGGCGTTTGGGCCATTCACAAATATTCGGGCCTGTTTCTTAACATTTCCTTTCAGGTTTGCCCAACCCGTGCCCCGATTCGAATTCAATTTGGGTTCCTCTTGCCCTACCCGCTTCTTGACTTTCTCCTCTGGCCCATTGCATGTCACAGCCGCCACAAACAATTTGGAAATAGCCACCGCCGCTGAAACATGGATCTGCTCCAAACAATGTGGACATTTAAACACTGCTCCCCACGGGGTGGTTTGGGTGTGACTCATAATTGATTCCTCACGTTTTTCCGGCTTAGCACTCGGCTCAGGATTAACTATAGGCTGCTCAGCCAAATCAAACACTGCCTTCATGAAAAGCCACCAACCCCATCCCTTCCCCAAACCACTGAAAGAGCCAAATAAGGACCTCTTCTATTGCTTCCAAAAGAGAGCTGTAGGTTGTAGTTGCGTCGGGCAAGGCGTTTCGCCCATGGGAGTTTGATGTTACGCCAGTAGAATTCCTCCAACACCATAAGCAGCCAGTTGACCTCCTCCAGATTCAGGAAGATATACGTTCTGTATCCTCTCCCATTCTCAAAGATCCGTAATCCTTCAGACCTCCCACTCTCCCAGATCAGATCAAAAGATTTGTTCTCTATTACAAAAAATCTTCGACCATTTTGATTTGAAGTGCCCAAAAGCATGATCGGCTAGGGCACCAAGAGAGATAGAGAGTCGACAAGAAGCCCGAGAGAGATTAGGGAAAAAATCTTGTACAATTAACACCATTCAAATAAAATCACACATTTCAGAAATAGTTTAGAGAAACTTCTGTCCATACTTTTCCAAATCTCAAACTGAACTGACATGGCAAATTTTCAATCTGATACGTATTATGGAAGAATGACAACTAAATTTCTGATTTGACAACCAGTGGACAATCATGTAGCCAGGAAAATCTTTAACTAATTCAATTCTTATTGAAAAGAAAGATAGACTTTAGTAACTTGAAACTATGATCTGCATAATCACTGAAGAAATTCAATAAAAATATTATATATTTGTATCCTTTCTTAGTTCAACAATTATTAAATACACTATATTGACCATATAAACAACTTTATGGAAAGATGTTATTGTATAAACATGTTTTGCAATTATAAAAACCAGCGAGTATCCAAATAGAGAAACCTGGTCTTTCAACTGATCCAATTTTGCCTCTCCTTGATCAAAAACAGGCACAGGATACTTCATCCAAGTTTCTTCTGCAGATGGCACAATTTGTGGATCCATTAATTTCAGCTCTGAGTAGCTTCCATAGCCTGAATGAATATCTGGGTTGGGTCAATTGGAATAAACAGTTGGATACAGTAATTAAAAAACATGTAAGATATCAGTTAAAATAGAAAATACCAGAGGGTGAAGATGGTGCAGGTTCCTGAATGAGATTATCCAAAAACTTTCTTGAAGGAGGGCAGGATGCAGTACGGCCATGAAAGTATTTCATAATTGAATGTGTTCCCTAGATAAAAATCAGCCAAATACAACATAAGATATCAAATTCATACTGCATACAAGCAGAAGAATAGACAGTGAACAATGTACAGCTGCACACAAACTATATGTTAAATTATTTGTGCACAGCAGACAAAATGCATCAGAGCCGTTAAATTTTAGAAATAAATTAGACTTTGAACTTACAGCCGGTACGGCAAAAATTTTGCTGGCTGAAACAGAGAGAGATGTTATTCTCCATGCATTGTTGTTATTTACTTGATTGTTAATTCCATATGAGCACATATATTCACGTAGTGCAGCTTGAAATAGATTGAACGCATCCTCTTGAATCTTGGATGCCCCGTACCTTAGGGGACAAGATTTTGAAGGAAACTTCTTATGTGAACATGAGTTCCCAGACTGCATTTTGATGCATAGTCACGAAAAATATGAGGTTTCAACTTCCAATATATCCAAATTGATCAATGAAAAGAAGCTGCCAAAGGTAAGATTTTATAATAAAAGATCAGGTAGAACATGAGTACAGTGTATGCTCTAGCATGCAGAGTAAGGGTATGTGCAATCCGCTTCTTCTGTTCGAAGTCCAAGCAAAGACGTTCACTGAGTTCTTCACAAAGCTGATTCAGCCAGTGCTGAACCTAGAGCAGATAGTAATCGAACAAAGTAAGTAACCATCAAAATTCCATGCAAAGATGTGAAAAAAAAAAAAAAAAAAAATCAGAACTAAGATGA